GGAGGCTTTTCTCCTGAGTTGTGAGACCGCACTGAGCGAATCCGTGAATATTTAAAAGGGTTTTTCCTGTTTTGAATGGATTAAACTCATTGCGAGGGATTATGTCTCAACACTTAAGGTAAAAACTAAAATTGAAACGCAAAATATTTAAACTCAAATAGGAAAACAAATACTTCAAAAATGTGATAGTGCACTAAGAAATATAAAATGAAACTCACCAACTTGCAAAGTGAGATTAATGTGCAAAAAAACCGTGAATAGTACAAGAAAAGATATGTGTATTGTTTGTTAATTGTAGAGAAAGAAATGTTAATTTATTTAAATCAGTAACAAACTCCAAAATTTACTCAGATTTTTTTTCATTATTTTTGTATATATAAATAACTACATTATTATTATATTATCGTCTATTTATCGTGTCTTAATGCACAAATTTTGAATCCTGAGGCAGACAGACCATTCTTTTAATCAACTCTCATAAAACCAGGTCTCCTAACTTTAAAAAAAAAATGCTAAAATCTTGACAGATTTTATATTTTGAGTGAAATTTGGTATAATTTTTTAAAATTGAAACTTTTAATTTGAAACAAATAAGGTAAAGGATGATGGGTTTGTTTTGAGCTCGTCCAGTGAAAGTCGATTCGTTCGGTACGATGCACTTTTCATCTGAGACAGGTCTTCTTGGATGTCGCTTTCGACCAAAGCCCAGCCGGGAACCTTGATACTCTCTCCCAACACGTTGACGTTTCCGAGTTTTCAATCCAATTTTCTAAAATCTCATTCCAATGCGGTCAGCAGGATTCTTTTGTACTCTCAGAAGCCCCATTGTGAAATCGTTAAAAAGAGAGATGGACAGAAAAAGTCATTCCACAGTGTCGTATTTGTACTGAAACAGAGAATCTGAGCCACATCTTGCTGCACTGCAAGAGGTTTCTGGCTCCAGCACAAATCATGCTCCAGGCCCTAACAAATACCTCGGTGAAACGTCGTTCAGCCTGGAAACACAGAATATCCGAATATTTTTGTTCCTGTAACGTCTTGATTTGAATTTGCCTGTCCCACTATTAGCTTTTTCTATTAAAAAAATCAACTTTTTATTTAGTTGTTACTTGTTAGATTTTTATGTCTACATGGAGTTATCTGGGTGCGTAAGCCCCAAATGCCTGGAGAGTTTGGACTTTTCCATGCTTTTAAATGGTTCTTATCCATAAAGGAGTTTATACAAAAAAGGAAACATATTGCAAATTGGGTTGATAGTTTGAGTTCGAACGAATTCGCAAGCCTGGTTACAAAATTGGCCGGACTTGGTACAACTTTTGTCAACATCCATCCTCGAGCTTTTTATCAGGTTTCTCCCCACGTTGGATCAATTACACGTTAGCCAACATGACATGTTTTTATAATTATACTCTGCGACATTGCCATGTCAAACGCCCTAAATAAACGTTGAATTGACCTGGTGCGCCTATCCATTCGTCATTGACATGTCAATTTTACAACGGAAATTGATAAATTCCATATCAATTGAACAGAACTTTTACCTTCACCCCCTTACAGAAGGCCTATTAATCTAAATCTCTAAAATCTAAATTGAAACTCAAATTTCATGGCGTCCATTTAAAATCAAGCAAATGAAGTTTATATAAATGTAAAAAACCTTATTCGTTTAAAAATCACTATATCAAAATAAAATTATGTATATGTAGACTAAAATGAGGCCTACTAATTTGAATATATTTACACAAGCTATATTTTTCAGTAAAAAATGACACAAAGCTCAATTAGATTGATGCGTACTGCAGCTGATATCTCCATTCCAAGGGTGACGACTATTTGCTATTTTTAATGTCGTTTCAAGGTTTTAGTGGCCATTTTATCTATCAAATCATCTTCGTCATCGCAATAGAATAATTTGAAATGCTTAAGATTCAAAGCCGCAGTAAAAATACGAAATAGACGGCTTGATTCAAACCTGAAATAATTTTTAGAATCAGCTTCCACAACTCTGCGCAATAAAAGAACAGGGCAAAATAATGATGAGTAAATAATACCACACATAAAAAATGAGGTTACCAAATATGAAAAATTCGAATGAAACAGGAGGCTGAAAATGCTGCTTTGTACCAAGTACCAAGAAGAATAAGTACAAAGGTAACATTTTCAAAGGTTTAAAAGGTTGGTATACTCACCCTGGCCTCATATGTTTGTTGTTCATAATCTAGATAAATAAATGGCAATTTGTATACACGGCAGACTACAAAACCTAACCTCTGACAAAAGAGAAAAACAAAATAAACTAAAAATAATAATAGCCATTGCAATCAATAACGCCTAATAACAACACAAACAAGGCCAACAAAATAATAAATATGCAAAAACAAATCGATACCAGAAAAACAGACACGAAATGAATCACATTCACATACTTAGGGGAAAAAAGTACAAACGAATTTATTTAATAAATTAGGAATTAAAGAAGCACTGAAGATCACGAACACAACCAGAAAGTTGCCAAGGCTAACAACTCAGACAGTAGGAGAACAAATCCAATGAGGCAGTAGATTTTTTTAAATGGCCTTATGATCAATGGATATTAGCCAAGGAGAAGATTATAATGTATATTCATATTGGAGGGGGGTTATCGTGAAAAAAAGGCCAGAGGCGACGGTGGGAATCGAACCCACGACCCCGGGGTCTATGAGCCAAGAGTCTCTATGAACTTAAATTGTGAAATTCCGTCTTGAGATGTAAAAAATATAATAATAATAATAATAATAATAATGATACAAAATAAATTATTTAAAACAATTATTGTATAAAAATAAATTATTAAAAATTATTTAAAAAAAAAACTTATATGATCGTTTAGGAACAATGACAAAATCAAACATCGCGCTACTTCACAGAAAACCGTCACCGACCCTCAACAATACAGAATACATAAAAAAAAATTAAGAAAGATACACATATAACACAAATAACACTAAAAAACACATAAACACATAAACATTATCAACAGTTTACACCATTCAAAACACTGTACTAATTAAAAATTTGGCAATAAATGACCATCATAAAAACCGAATAATATTGTAAAAAAATCCCAGATTTACTTCACCAAAGAAACCGACAAACAAAAATAGTGCTGACACATGCATCCCACTCCTCTTATAATAGTGACCTGACCACAGAAATCATACAGGCACACTGAAGATGACGAAATACAGAAATGCGTTTGACAGACCAACCTTGTGAGGAAAGGCAGTCCAAAATGATCAGAAAGACAAAATTATAAGCTTTTGTAAGTTAAGCTGGTTGACACTTCAACTTTTCCAATATTCACCGTTTTTCAAGTTGTGTTGAATAATTTACTTGCCGATGATTAAGTTTAAATTCTCAACATTTCTCTTTTTAATTTTTGGATCGCTACTGTTTTCACTGCATAAGTTGTTATCGCATTGTTTGTTGTTGGAATGGCTTCGCGTTAGCCGGACCAAGCTAAACCCGAAAAGTACCGGTTTTCATCCGAATGATTGTCGAACGTGGTGGAATTCGGCCTCTGGATGCCCTTAGTTGCATTGAAGGCCTGACTTCCCGGGCTCATTACGATTCGTTGACAGTCTAAATCCGTTATTCAGTCTGAATTTCCTTGGGGTTATGCCCAGAATGGCGACGCACCCTGGTCGGCTAATCAGAACCCCAAGCTCCCGCTGGAAGAAAGTCTGGAAAAGAGTTCCTGCCTGGGGAACCGAAAGGAACAAAGGCTACCTTGAATTGCAAATCACCGGTGATAGAGGTGAAAGACGGATCTGATGGTTCATCAGTACTAAACTGAGTTTCCCTTCCTATTTCTTCAAAGTTGTTAGGTTTTACTACTAGAATAATAGACCTAACGGGTCTAATACATATTGTTACAAAATAATACAAGTATCAATCTGAACCTATATATAAGTTTTATCGAACTCCGTGTAATATTAAAATACATATTCTAAAATTTAAAGTTATCGCAGAAAAAACAAGCCTGATAAGTTGTTTTAAACAAGACGGGCGAAAAAATTAAAACCTGTTAGACAACCTGTAGTTTCTTTTCAATTTTATTTTTGAGAGTAAAGAAATGAACTCTAGGTGTAATTTTTGTTCAAGAAACCTTCCCCTCTTTCGCCAATAAAATCGACTTGTATGATATACATTTGCATAATCTGGAAAACGAAAGTTTTCAGTTATGCGTTTCAGAAAAGTAAAACCAGTTAACCAAGAAAGAATCTCTAAAATTTGACCACGCGAGGAAGTCATAATAGTAACATTTGGAGCAAATCTGCAATTAATCATCAGTTTTTATTGATAATCTCATGCCAAATTCCAGATTTTATCGACTTTTCACAAATTGGATAAGAAATTCTTACAATCCCATTTTTTTACTTCTTCCAGTTTACCTCACAGTGGTTCGGGTTACCGGTCCAAAGGAAACGATTTCTTGTTGCGCCACCAACGAAATATGAACTCTTGCGTTGTCGAGGTGGCTGCAATAATTGATTTGGCTTTTTTCGTCAAGACCCATTTACGAAAGCTCGTAATAAATAATTTACCAAAAATTTTAAAAAAATCCATTGAATTATTGGTGTGTGTGTAATGTACAGTAAGTACGGCTTAGTAAAGTAAGCCAGTAAGTACGATACCAATCAAATATGCACCGCAGTCTTTTGGAATTATAAATAATAAACAATATGAAACAACTTTAAGATTATTATTTTGATACTATTTACATTTTCTTTGGACATCAAAGTACACGATTAGAAGCCGCATGTAATAAATAAAAGCGGAAGTACAACGTGCGTACGTGCGCCGTACGGAAAATTGACTATCAGATTATAACGTCAATTTTCCTGTGTACGGGACGTAAAGTGTGTCAACCCCCATGGTTACAAAAAACCGTACCAGTTGGACCGAATACGATTAAGTATAATAGATTTAAAAATAATTTGTTCTTTTGTCTTTTTCAGCCGCAAGTCTTTTCCGTAACTTCGCCAAATGGAGTCAAGAGGCGGCAGGATCTCGGCCAACTCGGCATTGAAGACATGATACAGTTGTCGTAAGTACAATATTTTAAAATACATACAATTTTTTTACCAAATATCTTATACATAGTGTTATATATATTTTAACCACCGACGTTGAGAAGAACAGTTGTGTAAATAATGACTTGTTATATCGAAAGGGCATGGCAATCATATGAGTCTTGTATTATGATTTAAATTTCAGCATCCCAGAATTCATTTCATTCGAAGAGAGCCAAAGATAATTTGGAACTTGGTTTGTGTAAGGCACTTTACGAAAAGCTATGAATTAACAAAAAACCCTATATATCTATCTACTCCATACAGTTAATTAAAAAATGGTCAGGTTTCCTTGCGCAGAACATGATCCCTCTTTCTAAAAAAATATTACCTTTTGGCTAGATCTGTTGCCTGTATGGCTCACAAATTTGGGGATATCAGAGATTTGAGAGTCTAGAAAAATTGCTAAGATTTTTCATAAAGAAATTGTTTGCTTTACCAACGATCACTCCCAATTTTATGTTATTATTAGAAACTAATGTAGACCTGCTGGAGATTTTCACATTAAAATTGCATTTCAAGTACTGCCTCAAAATTTTAAATCTACCATCATTTCGACTTCCGAGAATATTAACAATTAGAATATTAGCAATCAATATCAGAACTTCATGGTTCAAAACCTGGACCAGTCTTGCCGCAAAGCATTCGTGCGAATTCAATCCGGTCGTTTCAGGCTCGCATCTGTGGAAGGGGAAAACTTTCCACATTATTAATTAAAACAGGCGAGAATCATGTGGTAGAAGCTGCGACTAGAGCCATCTCATCGTCCAGGTTCTTCTTTTATAAGAAACTAAACATTCAATCAGGGATGTTTTCTGAGAATAATGAATCTCCCAGTAGTTGGTTTCTTAGAGAGTCAAGATAGCTGTTCAAATTGAGAGGGGAAGTTTTATATTCTAACTTATATCTTAAGAAATTAGCCGGTGCTCTCTCTGTAACCTAAATGCAAGAGAGGACTCCATTATTTAGCAATATGTCCTGTTCTTACCGAGTTCCGTATGCCTTACCTGGGCACTTTCAAGGTTAGTGAATTCATTCATGTTCATTTTTCTTCTCGACTCCTATTGCCGACCACTCATTAAAATTGCACACATTGCGTGGCATTATAGATGCTTTCTAGCACAGCCATTCAATTTTTAAACATTTTTAAACATTCTCACTCGTTCTTAACAATGGGTTGCATTTTATTTGTTCCCTTTTGTCTTGCTTTTTTTCTCTCTTTTACATTATTGACCTATTTTTTTTTTACTTTGTATTTTTACCTAGTCAAGTGTTACATTCTAATTTTTTTGTATCTTTCTCTCTTGCTTTCTATATCTTTTATACTGAAAAATCCTCAAATGCTGTCCAGGGAGGGGTGAGTGAGAGAGGAGAATAATATATTGTCAGGTCAACCTCCGGCTGACGGAATGGAATAATTCCAAGCTGTAAATACTTGTCCTTTTTTTGGTCCCGTACTTATATTTAGGAAATAAAGTATTATTATTATTAGTTCAAAAATGGTTTTATGCAGTGACCCCATTTGTAAATTAAAATAAACATATCATTTACTTAATTTATTCGGTTCAGCAGGTATTTAGAGCTTAACCGTATTTCTGGACGTTCTGGGAGCATTCGACCGAATAAATTACACCCCGATCTAATATGCAAGTTAAAAGTACCAAGCACCTACCTCCGGTAGTTCGGTAGCAAAAATATTCCCCTTCAGGTTTAAAGTGAGATTCGAACCCGATGCACTTACAAACGGGCTTTTTTTCAAAAACACCGGCATCCCGATGGATCATATAACCTCGTAGTTGTAAGACACCAACAAAAACATAAAACTGGCGTTCCGCAAGGAAGTGTTCTAGGACAATCTACCCTGCTGACATACCTACTCATTCTAAAACACAAGCTACGCAGACGATTCCGCGATCCTAGTAAGGGAAGCAATACTATATCTAGACCTCATTACCGTCTGGTGTACTTGGTTCCGGATCAAGTTGGGCGAACAAAAATGCCAACACTTTGCTCAGATGTCAGACCAGTGCTCATAAACCAAATAAATCGGGTGAACATAACGAGATCTGGAAATCCCATAAGCTTGTTGAACCTGCATATCCGAGGGACTTGGCGGTCCCAGTAGCGAAGTGGAGTCATCTAACGCGATATACAGGGTGAATTGCTACTCGTGCTACAAACTTCTCCAGTAGATTCTTCACCCTAAAATGAACAAAAAAGTTCATATTGTCCATGGTCCGATTCTCAACCATTTCAGAGTAATTTCGCTTTTTATCGATTTTGAAAGATATCACGTCCTGGCGTCGGAAAATCGTGATATCTTTTAATCTAAACATTTCTCTGAAAATCTAATAGCACCGTTGAAATTCCCGTTAATTTTTCAATAAGAAGATGACGGTGGCAAAATGTTTGGGCTAATTTTCTGTGTTTTATTTCAGCCAGAACTACAAAAAGAGTGGAAAATTGTGTAAATCGGAAAGTGTATAAAGTAATCCAGAGTTTCTAATTTTAGTCTCAGAAGGCAGCAAATTTGAGGAAAACTACCTGATTTAATAACGCTTCCAACGCACTCGTCATTTTCTTATTTAGTGGTTGTGAGACCAAGATGTTGATGACAAAAAGAGAAAAAATGGTGGTTCAAGGATTGCTAATGTTTGAGAGTGACTTGCTACTCGTGCTACAAACTTCCCCAGTAGATTCTTCACCCTAAAATGAACAAAAAAGTTCATATTGACCATGGTCCGATTCTCAACCATTTCAGAGTAATTTCGCTTTTTATCGATTTTGAAAGATATCACGTCCTGGCGTCGGAAAATCGTGATATCTTTTAATCTAAACATTTCTCTTAAAATCTATTAGCACCGTTGAAATTCCCGTTAATTTTTCAATAAGAAGATGAAGGTGGCAAAACGTTTGGGTCTTTCTTCCTTGACCTTCTAGCTGTTTGTAAACTTCTTAAGCATTACATACTAAATGGGCATTAAATTAAATTAAAAAATTTCAATGGAATTATGATTTTGATTCTCTCTAAAAATTAACGGGGATTTCAACGGTGCTTATAGATGTTAAGAGAAATGTTTAGATTAAAAGATATCACGATTTTCCGACGCCAGGACGTGATATCTTTCAAAATCGATAAAAAGCGAAATTACTCTGAAATGGTTGAGAATCGGACCATGGTCAATATGAACTTTTTTGTTCATTTTAGGGTGAAGAATCTACTGGTGAAGTTTGTAGCACGAGTAGCAAGTCACTCTCAAACATTAGCAATCCTTGAACCACCATTTTTTCTCTTTTTGTCATCAACATCTTGGTCTCACAACCACTAAATAAGAAAATGACGAGTGCGTTGGAAGCGTTATTAAATCAGGTAGTTTTCCTCAAATTTGCTGCCTTCTGAGACTAAAATTAGAAACTCTGGATTACTTTATACACTTTCCGATTTACACAATTTTCCACTCTTTTTGTAGTTCTGGCTGAAATAAAACACAAAAAATTAGCCCAAACATTTTGCCACCGTCATCTTCTTATTGAAAAATTAACGGGAATTTCAACGGTGCTATTAGATTTTCAGAGAAATGTTTAGATTAAAAGATATCACGATTTTCCGACGCCAGGACGTGATATCTTTCAAAATCGATAAAAAGCGAAATTACTCTGAAATGGTTGAGAATCGGACCATGGACAATATGAACTTTTTTGTTCATTTTAGGGTGAAGAATCTACTGGAGAAGTTTGTAGCACGAGTAGCAATTCACCCTGTATGTACCGAGAAGCATGAAAGGAAGAGGAGTAGAAGAGGAGGTGGGATGTGCTTTAATAATATTAGTAGACGTAAACTGGGATCAACCGAAATGTAAAGTGGTGCCAAGTACCAATTCAGATAAACAACAAAAATGTCATCTATACTTGGTCGAATCGATAATACAAAGCCCTCATTCAACCTTAAAAAATACAAATAGAATGTTTCAGCACCTTCTAAGGGTAAAGGAAATCCATTTTCTTTTTACTTATTACTTTTATTAACCCTATCCTGTTTCATTTTTTCTCCATCAAATTTTAAAAATTTAATTAATTTATTCATATTTTTAAGGTACATAAAAATAAAAATATCTCAAAATAAAAGTAGTTGAGAAGCAGAGATTTATAAATTTTTCAATGTATTTATTTATTTTTTGGTGGGGGATTTTCCAATTTTTTCCTTTTAAATAGTTTTTGATCGACGTCCAAAAGTTCTTTGTAAGTTTTTCTCGCAACTGTTCTTATTTTTGAGTTTATTTGATCGCGTAGCTCTTTCCTCCACGCTTCCATGCGTCAATCCGCGACATATTTTTTTGTGCTATTTATTTTCCAAATATGTGTATTTGGAATAAAATAATGTGTTGGGGAGATGTCGAATTAAAAAAAAAAAAAAAAAAAAAACAGCCAACAGACTACTGGCAGAAAAATAAAAATGTTTTGGCCTACGCCTCAGTAATGTCCAAGTTGACTGGGTCCGCAAATCTTCGTTATTACCTTTGACCGTAATCAATCTAGAATTTGTGAAAATGCATGAGTTTCGACACGTATACGTCTAATCCGTGTTGTTTAACTTGATTTTTAACAAATATGTAATTTACTCAAGCATTAACATAAGATTCTCAGTAAAAAATCATTAGATTTTAGAACAATAAACAACAAAATGTCGTTTCTTCTTTTATCTACGTGTTCAATTTTCTCATCATTTTCATGTTGTTTTTCTTTCAGTGACCTGAATGAAGCATCACTACTATGGAATCTCAAAATAAGATACGACAAAGAACTAATTTACGTAAGTATTTTACCCTGTGTAGAAAATTCTATGGGATGCCACAAAAAAAATAATTGTATTTTCCTTGATTATCCAATTATTAGGCCTTTGTGTCTATATTGTATTAAAACACGCATAATTTAGAACAATAAGAATTAATTCTGGTATAGTAAGGGTATGAAAGAAGTACGTTAAGATAATAAATAATCTAATAAATTCTTCTAATAAAACAGGATCGTGTTGGCCGAAAGTTTAGGGTGTGTAACCCGAATTGCCACGCTAGCTGTTCTGTGTTCGAATCCAACCAGATCCCACGGCTTTTTAATATATTATAATATGAAAAATGTATTGACCCATCGTCCGCGACTCCCAACAGTTAAGTTGACGTTAAGCTGTATGACAGTAATTTCTGTACTTTCTTATGTGTTAAACTCTAAATTGTTTTAAACCACGGCATCAAAGTTAACAAAAATGAGATTTCCTATTCAGGGGAGTTCAACCTGTAATCATCCTTACCAATCATCTAGGTCTGCCTATACTCACTGGAGCATTTCGGCATCTCGCCATCTTCATTGTGCCTGTGATTCTGTTAAGTCAAGTCTCTTTTATGATGTCGTTGGGGGTAGGGTACGTGTGTCGGCGTTTTCTGTTTTTGGTTGCCTTTGGGAATTCTGGGTTTTTTTTCCTGACCTTATAAATGATCGTCGGTCCTTTTCGTTTTTAATTTTTAATAGAGTCTTGACTTCATAGAATCACACAGGCACACTGAAGATGATGAGATGCCGAAATGCGTGAGACAGACCAACCCAATGAATAGAGGCAAACCTAGTGATCGGTAAAAATCAAATTACAAATCAAAATGAGTTAGGTAGGTTGCTCGTCATTGACTCAGTGACAACAATAAGTAAGAAGTTAACTAAATTGAGTCAGAAGGTTGTACGTATGTATTATTCCTTTGATTACGAATAAGCATGCTGAATTCACAACGAGGAATAACTTTTATCAGACATTTGTAATATTTTACATTGAAACAAAATTAAAAATAAAAAGTGAAAGCATGCCTAATGTCGATTAACATAAATGATTGTCCGCCCGTTTCCGCATTGTGAAAAATCGCGCATGAAAAGCAAAGTTGAAAGTTATGCTCGTTATTGACTCGATGTCATCGTTCCGTGAGACTGGTTTAAAAGATTTACGACAATCTTGTTTTCATTATCACTGCCTCAGTTCCGATTTACTCTTATTTCACCATTTTTTGGAGCGCAACTCTCTTCTGGCCAGTCGGGCCAAGAAGCTTGAAGAAGAAGGAACTAATTTCCGGTGCTTTTTTTGCAGACCTACACCGGCAGTATACTCGTGGCCGTGAACCCATATCGCATGTACGATATGTACGGTCTAGACATGGTGAAGAAATACGAGGGACAAATCCTCGGGACACTTCCTCCGTAAGTTCAATACAATACTTTTTAAAAAAATTGTTTGTACGTGGTTTTAATTTTTTAGACACCTTTTCGCGATCGGTTCTGCCGCATACTCGGCCATGTCTCGCGGCAACCAGGTGGTGATCATATCCGGCGAATCCGGGTCTGGCAAAACCGAATCTACGAAACTCGTCATGCAGTACTTGGCTGCGGTGAACAGGGCGCCTTCGAATATCGTCACAGAGCAGATCCTGGAAGCTTCGCCGCTCCTCGAGAGCTTCGGCAACGCCAAAACCGCCAGGAACGACAATTCGTCGAGGTTCGGCAAATTTCTCGAAGTCCATTTCAAAGAGTATGTATTTATCGGTTAGAAAGGCCTATTTATTAGGGAGTAATCATTGGTCCTTTCATTCAACAGGGGAGTCATCCTTGGGGGGAAAGTGACCGAATACCTCCTGGAGAAATCAAGGATAGTAACTCAAGCTCCAGAGGAGAGGAACTACCATGTGTTCTACGAGCTTCTCGCCGGTCTTACCGAGGAGTCTAAACTGAAATACGGCCTTCTTTCCGCTGACAAATACTTTTATTTGAATCAAGTAAGAGTGCAATTTGAATTTATTGTATAGTAGAATGTAAAAAAAAAACTTTTAATAAATATTTCATTTTCTGACTCGACACACGCCTTAAGCCATTGGAACATCATACACAAACATGATAATTACATTCAGAATTAATTAAATCCATTATAAGCATTTATCTCTCCCCCTAAAAAATACCGGATTTGTAATATCTAACAAACAAATATATAAAACTGAAAATATTCGGTCTTTGTTTAAAATCTCAAAATAATACTAAGACATGATAAATCATGGATACTCCCTGATTGTGATTTGGATAAAATTTACAGACTGAGCTAATCTCACAACATTTCGTTTATCCAAGATTATTATTATTTTTTATTCATTTATATTTATTTATTATTTTGTTTATTTATTTATTTATTTTTTTTGAGAGAGAGAGAGAGAGAGAGACATTGTGATTTGAATCAAGTGTACAGGCTTGAGCTAATCTCACAAGATTTCGTTTATCCAAGATTATTATTATTATCATTATTACTTTAGAGAGAGAGAGAGAGAGAGAGAGAGAGAGAGAGAGAGAGAGAGAGAGAGAGAGATTGTTCGACTTTATTAGGCGGTGTTCATTTAACCCCCCCATTCCGATACTATATCAAAATGTTTTGTTCTGTATGAGGATTTATGGATTTATGATCCCTAACATCATAAAATTAAAGCTAATTGCTTTACAAAACTTTTAAATAAAAAATAAAACACGAAATCTGCAATTTTTGAATACTTTTTTTAAGAATTCCGTGTCCTAGCTGACTGTATAACGTGTAAAATAAGATTCGCATAATCAAAAAAGTTTTGCATAAAAATATGATCCTAATGAGGAATTTACGGTAATTCTAAAATCGAGTAAAAATAGGCGTGAATGACGCTAACCCGCACTACCTCCGGTCTAAACTATTTATCATCCAGTTACATATAAAGAATTTTAAAAAAAATAAAAAAAATAAAAATAAGTGCAAGAGTAAGATATACAATAAAAAAATAAACATATATAAATATAAAAATATACAATGTGTTTTTGTCTTGTGTAATTCAAACAATTATTTGTAAATTATTATTACAAATTACATATATTAAATTCAAATGTAAAATAATTGTCAATGAAACACACACACACACACATATTAAAAAACACTACTGGTATACCAACGGCTCAAAAACGGATAAAGGCACGGGATGAATGGAGTGCCATTGTAAGACTAAACAGTTGGAAAGTCAGGCAGGAGTCCTGGCTTATTAGGCAGTCTTGTCTATCATTTTGATTGTTTCATGGACATTTGCTTCTTCACAAATTTGAAATCTGTAAGTTTCATGTTAGTAGTTTAGACGTTTCAAAGGCTATATCACTAGAAACCAGAAAAGTCTTTAGAAAAGAATGGATATATAATATTGTTATATAATTAAACCGCGATTAAAGCTGTTATTATATTGTAACACGTACGTTAAAATGTTCTTTTTGTTCATAAGGGGGAAAGTTGCGAGATCGACGGAAAATACGATTCAGATGATTTTCAGTCACTCATGTCTGCTATGCAAGTGCTGGGTTTTACTTCCGACGAGCAGGACACAATCTTCAGGATACTTTCTTCCGGTAGATGATTTTTCCAATAGTTTTCTCTTTAAACTAAGAAGGAGTTAAATATTTTCCCTGTGTTTTTTCAGTTCTTCACCTCGGGAACGTGTACTTCCACCGAAAACAGCTAAAACACGGACAGGAAGGCGTGGAGATCGGTTCCGACGCTGAAATCAGATGGGCGGGTCACTTGCTGCAAATAAGCGTCGACGGTATTAAAATGGCCCTTACCACGAAAACGACTGTAAGTAAAACGTTTTTTAATATTATTTTAGTATTCATTTATTTTGTTTTTCTTACCAAACAAAATCATTGGTAATTCTAATTTCTGTAACACCAAAATGAACAATGAAAGCTATTCTTGCAACATCAACTTTTGAAAAGGTCAAACGTAGTTAATCTATGCTTCTCTCTTAGTTTCCTTAGTGCTTGGACAACAGCCTTTTTTTAGCCCATTAAATATAAATAAATAATTCATTTTATTCATTTTTCCATTAATTTCGTTGTGGGTTTAAACTATAACATATACGTTACGCATCTCACGATTTCCGAATAATTATAACATTTACACTCAAATTTATTTTGTACCAAAACGAGACAAATTTGAAATTATATTCAATGTATTACTAAAGCTTTTAAACAGTAATTGCTAAGGGAGATGTTCCCCCCAAAAAACATTTTTTTAAAGATACATGTGTAAACACACACGAGCGCGCGCAACAATAACAGATATTTACCATACACTTAAATGTAACCAGGTCAGCATACCTGTCACGTTTTCAAACAGCCCAGATTATCTATGTTGAAAAGATGAGCAAACATGGAAATATATAATATATGACTGTGACCTCATAATCGGTTAAGTGCAAAAATTATAAGGACTATAACATTAAAAGAAGGAAAATGGCTGTTAGAAGAAAACAATTTATTTTCTAATTGTACACAGGAGTTTTTCTGTTTCGTGAATTCTATGATTCTATTATGAACTTATAAATGAAGTGTTGATATTTAAAAATTGTTAATTGTTTTAATTATAAGAGTGTTAATCTTGAAAACAAAGAAACAAATGTAAGTAAAACATTAACATAGAAAATGAACACTGTACGATTAAATTCTAAAATCTACATGGGAAAGGTTCAAATAAAGTATTTCACATACACACACATACACAAACAAACAATTAGGCTCATAAGGTCTATTGATAGCTAGGTCATTTCAGCACCCAAAGCATGCAGTTTTAACCTATGCACACTAACCACAGTAGTTCACTCATTATGCACTCATTCTCTCCAATATCATTTATTCAAGAAGAACAAACAATTTGGGACCGAAGACTTGCTGCTGTACTCAAGCACAATCTCATATTGGGTGGCATTCCTACTTTTCCCTTTTTGCCTTCTTGAGATCATTGGCGACTAAAATCACCCTTTCTTCCACTGTGACTTTAGAAGATCTGTTGTGAAATTGATTCTTATTTATTTCTAAGGTTGGAAACGCCCAATGCCCTTAAGGTAATTTAGCACTTTTAGGGATTCTCTTCCCCTATTTCTGCAGGTGCCAATATCTTTCCAAAGAGGGTATACTAATTTCGAACCAAAGCTTTGCAGTCGAAAAAGACAAGAGTTCAATGTCTCTCCTTCTTCATGCCTGAGTTCACAGATTTCTGGCTCAGTTTGTTAACTAAGCACACTCATTCTTTCCTATACCATTTACTCAAAAATTCTCTATAGAAATTCTAAATACTCAATTCTCATGTAGGGGGCATTCCTATTTGCTCTCTATAGCTTAAAAAAAATGACAGCCTTGTATCAGTAATGAGGTCATCTTTATAATTATATTTATTACGGCTGTTGTACTTATTAATTAAGGGTATTGAAAAATTTAATGTGACTATGTAATATTGTAGATTTGTGTGAATAAATATGATATATCCTTGCAATAAAAGGGCCTTTAATGTGGCATTAACTTTACAGGAAGCAAGAAATGAAAGACTGCTGACAGCATTAACTATTGACCAAGCACTGGATGCCAGAGATGCATTTGCTAAAGCATTGTACAGTTCGTTATTCGCATGGCTTGTTGCTCGGATCAACCACATTGTTTACAAAGGGACAAAGCGTACAACTGCTATTTCTATCTTGGATATATTTGGATTCGAAGATTTCAAGGTATTAGAGCATCTTCTATTGTGCTTCTAAAAATACCAATCTAACTTATTTTGTTTTTGGCAGGAAAACAGTTTTGAGCAGCTGTGTATAAATTATGCAAATGAGCACTTGCAATGTTACTTCAACAAACACATATTCAAGTTGGAACAACAGGAATATGCCAAAGAGAAGATACAATGGCAAAACATCACCTATACTGTAAGTGAAAAAAAATTAGCTCATTTGTTGATTAGAAATTATTTAAAAATTGTTTTTAGGACAACCTGCCTGTAATTCACCTACTTTCAAAGAAACCAGTTGGTATCCTTCATCTCCTGGATGATGAATCAAACTTCCCTCGTGCAACAGATGTGTCTTTCCTTGAAAAGTGCCACTATAATCATGCCTTAAACGAGCTGTACTCTCGTCCTAGGCTGAACGGTCCTGAATTCGGGGTCAAACATTTTGCAGGATCTGTCTGGTACAATGTAGAAGGGTTTTTGGACAAAAATCGCGACACACTAAGAACAGACGTTGTTGATCTTCTTATCTCAAGTTCAATTCCCGTAATTATTAAATAAATATTTTGGTGATTTCATTTGTTAAATGCAATGTGAAAATTTTTAGATGGTGAGCAAAATGTTCGAAGCTGTTAGAAGCAGCCAAGAAATGAACAAAACATTAAATAAGACTAATGGAAGGTTTGTCACCATGAAACCAAGAACACCTACAGTCGCAGCCAGGTTTCATGACTCTCTACAGCATCTGATGGAAACTATGTCAAAGTATGCTTTTTAGTTATTTATAAAAAGTAGTAAAAAAATCAAAACATAAAGTTAGATATTTACTTACCCATAGCTCTTGAATCAGGTCTACATCTATGTTCTTTATGAAGGTTTTGTTCAGAAAATCTGACGCTGCCTTAGTTTGATTTTTTATTAATTCATGCTTTATTTAATCAAACTTTATTCTTACCTCTTCTTTAAGTTTTCATGAAAGTTTTTACTGTCTGCTTTTGCTAAGGAGTAGAAAGTCCTGCGTTTTCTTCTTTATTTGACATTTGTTTACTGGTGTTTTGATTTTGAAGTTTCTACCACTGGCGCCACCTCAGTCATCTCCAAATTTTCTTGAGATTCTGCTGCTGTCTCCTCTTTCCACTTTATCATTATTATGTCCCCTGGTTACTTACTTGGTACTTTGCAGTGCTTCACTAGCCATTGTGTCATTCTTACATAGTGTTAGCCATCTGCTCTTTAGTATAGTAGCATAGTAAAAAATTAAAACATAAAGTTAGATCTTTACTTACCAATAAGTTTTTATTATTATAATTTTTTTGATATTTGTTATATCCTTCTTGAGATACTTTGGTAGTGCTTGAATTGTCAGACTATTCTGTTTTATTTCACCTGTGATTGGTTCTTTAGAGCCCTTTGTTCTTACCTCTGTTGATATTCAAGCAGGATTTTTCTATTGTCTGGCCAACCATCTAAATATTTTTTTTTACTTGCACTGCTCAGTTGGACAGGCTTAAGCCCTTCTGTCTTTACCATTTTGTTTGAATAGTCCTTTAGTGGCCTTTTACCAGGGGTTCTCCTCCTACTGGATGTACGTTTTAATTACTGACTTTGACTTAAACATATTTTTTAGATGCCATCCATGGTTTGTCCGTTGTATCAAACCTAACAATGAAAAAGCAGCAATGAAATTTGATATGCCTATAGTGTTAGAACAGCTCAGGTATTGTGGAATGCTTGAAACAATTAAAATCAGAAAAATGGGCTACCCAGTGAGAATGAGGTTTCTTGAGTTCGCCCAAAGGTATAGATACTTACTGAAGAAAAAACTACCATTAAAATCAACACCAACGAGGTGAGCTTTTTTAAATAATGGTTCAAATGAAGTTACAATTTAAAAATTAGCATCACATTTGTTTCTAAATGTAATGACTTAATGTTTTTTAAATATTACAGAGAGATTTGTAGCATAATGCTACAACCATATGCTGGAAATTATCAAATAGGGTGCAGTCGAGTGTTTATGAGAGAAAATTTGGAGAGGAAACTCGAAAGGGAAAGACATGATATCTTGAATAAAGCTGCAGTTACTGTTCAGTGTGCAATGAGAGGTAAAACAATTTATATTATTTTTTAACCTTTGAATAATTTCCTTTCATTTCCAGGACATTTGGCAAGACGCAAGTATCAAGCGTCTAAAAAAAGCGCTATCATTATTCAGTCTGCTGTACGAGGATGGGCTGCCAGAAAGAAATTTTTGATGGTAAGGCAAGGTGTTGTCAAAGCACAGGCGGTCCACAGAGGGAATCTTCAAAGAAAAAAGTATTGCTACTATCAAAATATAAATTGCTACATGGTAAAATAAATATTATGTATTTTATAGATATGCACAATTAAAAGAAGAATTGAAAAGAAGATCAGAATTGGCTAAGGAAAGGGCGAGGATTAAAGCTCAACGAGAACAAGAGGAAAAGGAGGAAAAAGAAAAAGTGTCGAGGGCTGTTGCTGGTGTTGCTCATTTAGACATTCCAGCAGAATTAGCATTTGTCTTCAACAAGCTTGATGGTAAACTGTCATGTTACAATTTTTTTAAATAAAAGAACAAGGCAATTTGTAACAAAATAATATTAAATATTAAGATTTTACATTATTTTTATGTTTAATGTAGACTGGCAGCCTGTTCACACTGAGAGACAACTGGTGAAAGTTGTGGGCCATATCGTAGAAAAAGAAGACAAATTTGTTTTGCCCAGTGATGTTGATCAGTACCCTTTCTCTAAGTTTACTAATGTGTATTTTAAGGTACATTTTCATAGCTTATAGTGCATTAATTTTTTTTTAAACCTTGCATGAATAAAAGCTGTACAATAAGTACATTATGCAGAATTATGTCTATAAATTAACATAATTAAATAAATTATATAATTAGAAAGTTCTTTAATTTTATTGAATGGTTTGACTTTTAAATTATATCTAAGTTTAAAAGAATTAATTTACTTTTTCCATTGTGCAGTCTCATGTGTGGGGAATGAAAAGAGAACCAATCAAAACCCCGCTACTTACGAAGGCTTTAGACAGTGATTTCTCTGAATCGCTTGCAATTTTCAAATTAATATTGCGATTCATGAATGATGATTCACTCTCTGGTAAAAAGGAACAAGCACTTGCAGATTACATCGCTTACAAAGTAACTTAAAAGCGTCAATTAATAATTAACAATAATTTTTATTAAATGTGTAAAAAAATTTAATATCTATTCTTTCAGGGATTATCAAATGAGAAACTTAGGGATGAAATCCTTTGTCAACTTGTAAACCAAACATGGCGTAATGATGTCGCAGCAAATAACGAAAGAGGATGGCTTTTGTTGGCCAATTGTTTGTCGGTCTTTCCACCTTCCCAGACCCTGTTTAAGTTTCTCCTTAAGTACGTGTCAGACCATGGGTACAACGGTTACAAATACGTATGCCAGAGGAAACTGCTAGAGTCGCAAAACCAATGGCCGAGGTCGCACACTCCGTCCCTTTTGGAATGGAGGGCAAACCGAAAAAGAGTCAATATGGCTCTTCAGCTACATTTCTCAGACGGTGAAACAGTAATGACGGCAGTCGACTCTTGGACTCACTGTGAGTCAGCCTGCCGTCAAGCTTTGACTGAAAGGTCCATTTTAGAAAACAACGGGTGGACTGTTTCATTAGATAACACCGAATCATCAGGAATTGATTACATCTTCGATGCCATATCAGTACTTGAATTACCACCTGCTTTTCCCACACACAAAACAGTGCCTGTTCTATTTTCAAAAGATTCAGAACCAATTCCAGTGGCCAGAAGACCTACAGTACCTCCACCTCAGCCTCCTACATCACAGCCTGTATGTCTCGATATTTTGTTTAAAGTATAGACAATGTCATCTTTTAACATCTAAAATGTTGTTTTCAGATTGTGCCAAAAGTTAGATCTGTTTCAAGGGATCATACTACAGAATCTGGACTATCACGTAAATCTGCTCTCAACGATCGTTACTTTGATAAGCCCGGACGTTCAAGATCACTTGACAATCTACTATCTCCAGTAAGTAAATTATATGTGCAGAATTTTTCTTTTTCTTTTTTAATAACAAAATATTTTTGCTTTCCTTAAGGTCATAACAAACAATGTCAAGCAAACATCAAAGCTGGACAATCTAGGGTTGAGCCATAGCAGATTGAATGATAGGTACCATTCAATGGAAAGAATCGAAGAGTCAGATCAAGTAGCCTCCACGGACAAAAATGAAGAAGACAATATGGAATCGGTTAGCCAGAGAGGAGATAATAGAAAATACAGCCTCACTGGGTACATATTTCAAGAATTTGTTTTTGAAAATTGTAATTAACAGTTAAACTGTTTTCCAGAGCTTCTTCTGATGTCCTATTATCTGACAACCAATTAGAGTTCGATTTCCAGGAGGTGGCCACAAGAAGTGAAGATGATAGAGGAAGTTATATCCGCGGACATCCTAGGTAAAGGACCTATTTAAAAATATTTTATTTTTAATTTATAATGTAATGAATTTTTATTATGTAAATGTATTTTAGATTTATAAAATCTCAGTACACTGGTAAGAAAGCAGCTCCTGGATCACATTCAAGCAGAGCTCATATTGAAGGACGATTTGGAGACAAATCTGATGTTAAAAGTTCAGCGTTGTCTGATACAAGTGAAGCTCCTTCACTTGGTAATATCATATTTGAAGGTGGGAAAGAATGATGGTTGACTTTATTTTTTCTTTTAGCATCTCATGTAAGGCGCGTTAGGGTTCCTTCTCAGGCTAGTGATGTAGACCAGTTTCTCGATGATTTATTTAATCCAGTATTAGATGGGTTATCGGATGCTAGGTCTTTAGCACCATCTACCAGAGGAGGCACTATCAGGTACAGAATGCACATTGCTTTACAATTAATTTTTTTGAATTGTTATAAATATTTTGTGTGCAGGTCTCAAGATGATTATTTGAATGATATTTATGACCCACTGTTCAAAGAGGCTCACTTAGATTCTTCAAAGTTGGCTCAGTCGATTAAAGGAGGTGGTAAAGGAGTTGGAGGTGTGGGAACCCAACAGGTTTGTTTTTTTATTTGTTACCTTTACTTTCAAAAATATTCACATTTGATTTTATCAGAACACAAATCCGAATCAACATCCAACATCAAATGGATACAACTTGTCACCAATAGTTGGCTCGCCGCCGCCAGTGATCCCGGGAATGGCACCTCTCATGATGTCACCTCTTCCTGTCTTCAATCCTACGGGTAAGTTGTGCCAATTCAACACTTTCAGCATGAAACACCTTCTCACCTTCTCACTTTTTTGTTTCTATTCACTGCAAAGCAAATGGAAATTCTCCTTCTTTTCCTGGTGGATACTCAGCGGATGCAACTTCCATGGGAAATTTTATGCCGGTACCATTGTACAACATGCAAGGCAAGTCTTGCATTTTCCTTCTCTTCTTCTTTTTATTTGTTCCAATTTTCTATAGAAATTTATAATTAAATAATGGTGTTGGGCATATTTTGACTTATTTATCACATTATCTATGACATTATCACTAAAAACATAAAATTAATTTTTAAATATTTCACTAATTGCTAACAATATAAGCAAGCAAGAAAAAATTCACCTTGCCATTTCTTTTTAATTTAATTTAATTTAATTATTGAGCAGGTACACTAGATCACTTACTGGGTCTGACCTCACTTGCGTGTTTCAATGTCATTCAAACAAGTTTTGATTTTGCACCATCTTCAGTGAGGAACTTCAGACCCACTAAAATACAGACCCAGTAAGAAATTCAGTGCCAGTTCAACATGTGTTCACCATCTTTTAGATCAATATCCACTGTCAACAATAATTATTATTATTATAAGAATATTTTTGTTTTTTGTGTGGTAATAGCATTTTATTGATTCCCTTGAATGTAGTTAATCAGTTAAACTTAATTTTTAAAATTGTTTATTGTAAATGTTTTTAATTTATTGATACCGTTGCATGTTTATTTTGAAAATTATAAAATATGTCGACTGAGTGTTTTCATATATAATTTTTTTTCATGAAATCACAATTTCTGGCTTAAAATGATTTTCAAAAGGGTTTTCTTGTTTATTCAGGTTGTTTATATCTTTTGGACATGATAATGATACAATATTATTTATAGTTATTCTTTGTATGTAAGGTCTTGGTCAAAATGAAAAAGATAGTGTCACGAGCCGAAGGTCGTGGGTTCAAATCCCGCTCGTGACACTAGCTTTTTCATTTCAACCAAGACCTTATACAAAGAATAATTAATTGAAAGAAGTAATTTGGTCAATCAGACCATTAAATATAATGGATTATTTATAGTAATGCATTTTTGGCCAAGAGGGGCCACCCTTTAGCTGACATGGTCCTGGGATGCCCATACAAGAATGTCTACGATTGACTTCGTTCTTGAAAACAACCCCTTTGGGATTCGCTTTGCTGAATCTCTCAAGCAGGCTGAAACGACACTGGCAAAGGTACTCGGGCTAGGATACAGGCCGACTGCCCTGTCCTTTCAGCTGTACTTGTCTGATACAATCTGGTGACCCTGGCCAAATCAACAACTGTCATATCTATACCTTGCTAAGCTCCTTGAACTTAGATCAAGATATCCAGTTTTTGCTTCATCTTCAGGGAAGGGTCCAAGACTGGAGAAGGTATGGCTTGTGCTGTGTACAGCGGAGAAATGTCCACTTTGTTATTCTACACCTGCACACTGCCAAACTATATGCGATCTGGCACATCCATAGACTCGTGGTAGGATCCCCATGATTCCCCCTAATGGACAGATTTTTGAGGAATCCTATCTTTGGAGTGCCTCAGAAAAAGGTAGTGTTTGTCTCAGTATTTGAACCCACTCAAGTTGGAGGACAAAGAATGTGCAGAGGATGCAGCAAAAGCCGGGGCGATTCACACTCCAGGCCTTAGTATCATGATCCAACCCACTGATGCTAAATAAGCATTAAAGAATATGGAAAATGTGGCAGCATCTGTGGACTGGGATGTCTGAGAAGCTCTTGCACGACAAGAGTACAATTGGTAGATGGTCCCCAAAGATTCTGAAGAAACTGCAGAAGCAAGATCATCTTAACCTTATTGCCATATGTGGTCAACACATAGACACATACTTTTGGGCCAAAGCCCAAATATGTGTCCAGCATGCAGGAGAAAGGTTGCTCAATGTGTCCACTTAATTGAAAGTTGTCATTCCTGGCTCCATATAGGGAGCGAGTATGAATGCCACCCGATCGACAAATTGTGTTAGAATACAGCAGTGAATCTTTGAATCCCCATTCTGATTTTAGGAGTAAACAGGGTTTTTAATTTCAAGTATTCTTGTACTGAATATATACCAAGTTTGGTTATAGTAGCTGTAATAGTTTCATGAGAAAGTATTTATATGCGTGAATGAGTGTGTGTGGTACAAGGTCATCAACAGCAGAATATCAATTTGTCAATTGATTAATAACACAATAAAATAAATAATAAGTCAATATGATTGATTAATAACATAATAAAATAAACAAATAATAGGCTAGGTATTGTTTGTATAATTGTTTATATGTGTAAAGGGTGATAGAGGAATAGCTCTACTTGAGTGAAAAGTATGCAAATAAAAATTAATGAGCAAGAGAGAGAGATTAAGTTAAGTTTTGAAAGTAAAAACTGCATGCGTTGAAGGCTGGAATGGCCTTGATGTCAGTAGCATCTTGAGCCTAACTTGGGAGCTGATACGGAAAGTAATGAATTATTTGTATTTCAGGTATTGCTCTACCTACACAAGGGAATTCGACTGATCCAAATATAATGGCTTACCAGGCAAACCTACAACGAGCTTTCTTGCAATCTGCCATGGCACAGAATCTTCAAATCCAACAGCAACTTCTGGCTCAAAACCAAGCCCTTCAGCAGCTTTTACAACAGCCACAGCCAGCGGTAAGTAAATAATGCTTAAACGAAGTTGAAACTCTCAGAGTTTAAACTTTTTGTTTCTTTAGCAAAACGGAACATCAGAAATAGGACAAGGATGGGCAAATGAGTCACCCCCTAAAACCAAATCATCCCCGATGACGACAAAAGCACAAGTGAGTATGTCAACTAGAAAAGATTCAAATGATTTAGTGATTGTTACAGATGAATCAGTTCGTGTGTATTTATAATTTTTGTAATATTTACTATTGTATTACTAAACAGGTACACCGTTCTGGCTCCCCACACCAAACTTTCACCACGGTCCTCTCAGAGCTGAAAACTAGGAAACCCTCGACTGATTTACCCACGAAGGTATGCTTTGTCAATTTAAAACAATTCTTGTATTTTTTCTATGTCTGTTTAAAAAACAGATCTAATTAATAGGTGAAATTTTTTCTGTTTTATAGAGTAATGTTCCACCACCACCACCACTTCCTCCGCCACCAGAACAAGGAGATCCAAGTGACGTAAGGCCGTTTATGGACCCTTATGGGAGGGCAAAAACGGTGAGGATTGGCAAATGGAGGTGGCCTCCGCCAAAAGATCAAGATTCCCCTGACACCCCTTCCTTTTTCCAATTCAAGATGAAACAAAGGAGAAAACATTCACAGGTGAGTTTTTATTTCATAAGGCGATATAAAAATAAAAAATAAAATAATAACTGCACACAATAACATTTCTTTTTACAAAAATTGGTAAAAACTATTAGGTTGAATTTAAAAAAAAAATGATAAAAAGATTGTTCTATTTTACAAGAAACATATTAATACTTATTAAATAATATTTTATAATGCATTTACAATTGGACAAAATAAAGCAAAATTAAGCTATTATAATTGTAATGTGTTTTTTTTTTTTTTTGGTTTAAGCAGTGTTGCAAACTTCCTTTGTGCCTCTTTGGTGTATAATTATGGCATTTAGTGTTAAAAACAATTGTAATGGACAGGAAGCATAGTCACTAGAGTGAGACCTTTTAATGGCTGGTACATGACTTCCATAAAGCTCTGTTTTCAGTATGATGACAGTCTTCCTCCACGATTGTTCACATTTACAAAACATTAACACTCTAATTTAACAATATAGTGAAAATATTAATTCTGGTGTATTAACACCAATTAATTTAAGTTGGTTCAACTTTATTTTATCTTATATTAATTTAAAATAAAAACTTGTTGAAAATTCTGAAGAGATAAAAATTGATTTTAGGATGTAAATGAACAAGATGGAGGAGGTGGAGTTGAATGGGAAGAGTTTGAAATTCAAGACCTACCAGTGAATAATCACAATCAGAATCATAGTCAGAACTACAACCACAACCACCAACATCATCAACCCAAACAAGAGCAAAATCAGAAAGTGCAAAACTCGCTCAAGTATGGCTTACACCAACTACCTTTATTGTAATTGGAAATAATTTGTTAATTTTTTTTATATTTTATTATTTTAACTCTAGGACATTTGAGATTGGTGCACAGAGACCATCGCCAGGCAGTGTGGGCAAATTGAGGATTAGCAATGAAATGAAGCACAAATTAGAAATGGTTACTGCTAATCACAGCCTGAGGTCTACCAGTTCAAGAGCACCACCACCGCCACTGCCCAACATGAACCCTCCTGCTAAACTCGACTCTGACCGAAGAAACCTTCTTCAGCATCAGCTAGGTAAGAACTGTAATTCTTATAAATTCATAACAAAAAACTAACTGAACTTCGCACAGCTGGACGTTGGGGAAGTATAGACAGCGTGGATACAAGAACTGCAACAAAAGATGATAGAAACGTTCAAGCCTCTGAAGGAAGACCTCAGGTAATTCAACAACTTTGATGTTTTTTAATTTTTTAAAGTTTTGAAAAGTACCAAAAATAAGTTAAATTTTGCTTTAGGTGGACAAAGCACCAACTTGGCGACCACCGCCTCCTCCTGTTGCCCCTCATCCTTTGACCCCTTCAAGGACGAGTAGTTTATATTCTCATAGCCATGGGTAACTGATATGAAAACAAAATAATATGATTATCATAAAAAACTCATTTTTAAATTGAATGTTTATTTTCAGAAACAATCCTCCACCAGCACCTATTGAGCCGATAAGGAGGGAAATTTTTAAAGACCAGCAAATATTTAACGATCAGGTCACAACTCCTCATTCTGATCAGATTGAAAGTAAATTTATTCTTATTGGTTTGTTAATGACCAAAGGCCAAAAACTTATTAAAATATTTTGTTTAGTTGAAGAAAGTGGCGAGTTTTTAGGAGTTGTCGATTCCCTGCCGGTATTGCCGACCCCGCCTGAGATCAACACCAACACGAAAATCCACCCTCCACCATCAGCTGCTTTCTTCACATACAACCGAGTTTCTTGGAAGCTCAATGTTAGAAAGGAGGTGTTCTCTCCAAAAGAAACCGTTTCAAACCCACTAGTCCTCCACTTGGTCTATTGTCAGGTTGTAAAAGACTCTTTGACCAAGCAGACACCACGGATAAGCAAGGACGAAAGAGCCGACATGGTCCAGGTGTGTATTACGGTATTATTGTGATATATGTGATGTTTTCTTTTTATTTATTTAGCTTTTGGAACATTTCGGAGTAACAATAACCAACTATCAAACTGGACAGCATAAAGCAAATACTAAAAGAGCTGTTGTAGATATGGCCAGGCGTTGGCAAATTTATTTTTCAAGAATATTTCCTCTATCTGTAAGTTATAAATAATTGTTATTCTTATGCATGTGTTATGCCATTTTCAAGAAAAATTCTTGTAAGAACAATAGTGTTATTAGTAGTAAAGTAAATACTATTTCTAGGGAGGGCATCAGTTTCCCGAAGCTCAAATGGTTGCTGTAAACCATGTTGCCTTAAGGCTTGCCAAACTGGACTCAAACTATCTTAGAGTTGTACACAGCATTAAGTAAGTTTGAAAAAATATTATATGTGATTCGCAATGATAATAATTTATCTTTTTTTATTTTCAGGCTTAACGAGATTGCTGACACTAGTTTGAGCAAAGGAGGAGGCTCTCTACACATTGTCCTCAGCTCTGGAGAAAGATTCCCATTGTATACATTCCGAGCGAAACAGTTGCAGCTTCTGATAAACGCTTTTGTGAGAGAAGCCGCTGACACTGCAAACACAACAATAAACCGAGAATTGCACCAAGCAAGAATAATTGTAAGTGATCGGAAGTGGAAAATAATTTTTTTTTACTAATGTCTATTTTATAGGAGGAACGCAACAGGCCGATGGATCATAAAGGCTGGCAACAAGATATTAGAGTAATGACACCACCGTCCACTTCGAATAACCACCATACACCAACAGTAAGATTAATTTTAAAATGAGAAATAATATTAAATTAATTTTTCCCTAACTAAACTATTTAAACTTTAGGTTGCTGATGATGGGAAACATTCCCTACTCCAATTTGCCATACATCATTTTAGAAAAAGCCCTGAAAAGTAAACAATAGTTCTTAATTTTGTATCCATCATTTATTGAAATTTTATTTTTAAAAATTGTTTAATTTCATCACTTTCAGGTTTGAAATGTTGAAGACTCCTGAGGGAAATATAACTGGGTCACTAAAGGTAGTTCAAGGGCATAAAAAAGGAAGCAACTGGACATGGAAAGAACAGGTCGACTTAGTGAAGTACACACCAACACCAATCACCGAATCTCTGCTCAAATTAAGTCCTGAGTTAAATCAACTTGCAATTGAGTGCTTTGAGTGTGCAATGAGATACATGGGTGATTTGCCCATCACTCCAGACCTGACAGAAGTCAAATGTGTTTACACAATTTTAATGGTAAGGCTCTCGTTGTCAAGAAAAGCAATCCACATGATACATTTCAATTTTTTTTCAGCATTGCCACAAACACGTGCCATTACGAGATGAGGTTTATTGTCAATTAATGAAGCAGACGACATCGAACAAACGGGACTCGGCTCAGAGAGGATGGCGTCTTCTTAGCATCGTAGCTGCATACTTCACTTGCTCTGACACTTTAAAACCATATCTCGTGAAATATTTAGAAACTGCTGCTTATGACAAGAGAAGAGCTTATCACGGTTTGAATAATACTAGTTTGAACTGTTAAGAGTCAAAACATTTTTCAAATAACAAATCTTTATAGGTACTGCAAGTGTATGCTTACAAAATCTCAGAAAAACGCTTAGATACGGTGGAAGAAAAAACGTTCCAAGCGTAGAAGAAGTCACAGCAGTCAGTGCAGGGCGTAACTCAAAGAGACAGATGTATAGGTTGCCTGGCGGGAGTGAAACAGTACGTAAAATTTTTACCTTAAAGTAAATTTAATCATTAAAAATTAATTGTTCTAGGTCATCCATACCAAATCAACGACTGTAGTTCATGATGTAATCCATGAAATGTGCACCCTTATTGGAATAGACGACCACATGGAGATCCAAGAGTATTCTCTTTACTGCATAGTCGAAGGAGATGCTTTCACAATGCCTCTTGCAAGAGAAGAGTATATTTTAGATGTTACCACAGAATTGTACAAGAACCAACAGGTAACACTAACTTAAAAAGAAATGCAAAAAACATAGTTTTTTTGATAAATATAATAATATTTTTTATTTTTTTAGGTGTTCTATCTTATTTTCTGTAGATCTGTATGGCATTTTCCATTGCGACTTGAGAATCATTTATACGTACAAGTCATTTTTAACCAAATCGCCCCTGACTACCTTGAAGGTCTCCTTCTTGTCACTCCAAATGAACATATCCCTCAAGAGACTATCGTATGTAAAGTATTGGCCAAATGTTTGACTTTTATTTGTTGATAATTTAATCTGTTACAGTTTGAAATCGGAAAACTTGGTGCACTTCTCCATAGAGCAGCAGACATGACCCACCCACCAGGTACAAAAGAGACTAAATTCCTTCTCCCGAAGACTGTCCTTGGTTACAGAGAGACCAGACCAGCCGACTGGGTCCAGATGGTTCAGCAAGCTTGGACAAATGTGCAGAACATGACAAGCTTAGAAGCCAAATCTATGCTGTTAGGTGAGTTTCTGAGTTTACAATTCTCATGAAAATCCAATAACAATTATTCACACAATTTTCAGAGTTATTAAGTAAATGGCCATTGTTTGGATCGAGCTTCTTTGCAGTGAAACGCAGCGGGGATCAACAAATACTTGCACTGAACAGAACAGGAGTGCATTTTATTCATATCATAACACATGTAAGTCCATTTTTATATCATGTCTGTCATATTTTAAAATGATCTTTGTACCCAGATCTAAAATCTTTTATTTTAATTATTTTTTTGTTTTTTTAGGAAACAGTTTCAACAATTCCATATGTCGAAATCATCTCAACTAGAAAAATTAGGTCAGACAGCGGCACAATATTTCTTGAACTCAAACTTGGAAATTTGTTTCAGCAACGAGTCGCCAGACTGCAAACTGACCAAGCACATGAGATTGCAAGGCTTATTCGACAATATATGTCCCTCCATAGGCGTAAGTCTGATTTAGATTGTTTTATTATTATTAGTTTTAATTAGCTACTACAAAGAAACTTTTTTTACAGAAAGAATTTCATCCGAACATTGAATCCAGTATATAGAATCCCTGCCACTTGCTCATTAGTTAACTTTACATTAGATTTAATATTAGTATTCAACTATTTCTAAATATATTTTTGGTTATTTATTTATTTCCTCTTTTTTTAAATGAAAACATTAATTTAACTGCTTATTACAATATATATTTTATAATAGAGACTTATAATGTATATGAGAGAATATATGGGCTGTGTAAAAAAATACATAAATAGAAAAAAAATTGCTTATAAATTTGTACAAAAAATATAGTCCAGTGTCATATAAAACAATTTAATGCAACGAGAAAAGTAATTGTTTTGAGTACTTAATTTTTTTAAATATGTAATTATGTTAAAATATTGTGTTTCTGTATTGGAAGATTTATTTAATACTGTTAATTTTAAGTATATTTTTGTTTACCATAATTTTAGGTAAATATAATAGTAAATAGTCAATTTTTTTTAATACATTTTGGTCCATTTGATGGTGGAAGTTGGTCTGCAAGTCGGTGAATACACATTGGACTAGAGCTGAGTCTGTGCACCATCTTCAGTGAGGAACTGTCTGACAGTCTTCAAAACCCACGAGTGTAGGCGGACTCAAGTAATCCAGTCCCAGTTTAACATTTTTGTTCATTACATTAAAATTTTAATAATGAAAAATTTAATAATACAAAATATAATTTAGAAATCAAATACTATTACATTCACTGTAAATTGGCACAGAATGTAATTTTTTTTAAATATATGTGTGAAATTTCTGCCTGCAATTAGAGATCGAACAAACAAATGATATATTTTGTATTATTTAAAAAAAATTAATAGTAAAAACATTATCAAATGAAAGTGGGCGGCAAGATGGAATGTCTGTAGAGATAGTACGAAAGAAATTAAGCCAGTTGTACATAAATGGCCAACTGAGGAACTTGAGAGAAAAGAACTTGTGATTCTCTCTAGATTGCGAATAGGTCAAATCAGGCTAATCCATAATAGGCTTTTAATAGGCAACAACCTTCCAACTTGTCCTCGATGTATGCGAAGTGGAGAACGTATCATTCTGACAGTAAAACATATTTTGGTCGACTGTCTCGCTTCGCAACCGTTTAGGCAAACGCTCGACCTTTCGAGTGATTTACTGGAGTTACTGGGTCCCCAGTGTTTCTTTCGAACGGCACTTTTCAGCTTTCTTAAATTTATTGGAATTTATAATGAGATTTAGGCCTTTTCCCAAATTGTTAACCATTGAATGTTTGCCTGCTAATGTTTGAATGAGAGTTGTGTGTGCAAGATTTCTTTTTTTTCAGAAATTTTTGAGGCTGCCGGAAAAAATGAAATGGAAGAAAATACAAATTGCGGGGTAATAAACTGCAATGCCCAAAATCGCAATTTAAATAAGAAAAATAGCTCCCTCAAAAAAAAAAAAAAAAAAAAAAAAAAAAGGATAAAGAAAAAGACGTGTTATTGTGTTTTGTTTCTTATTATTGTTATGTAGTAATAGTTTCTTTATCATATTTGAATGGAAGAATAAAAGGATAAAAAAGATAAGGATGAGCCTATACTCATGCTGAAACTGTTGCTAGTCTGACTCCATTATTATTATTATTATTAGCCACTCAAGCCTATGGGAAATGTTTAAATTATGGAACAAAAATTCAGAATTCAAATAACAGAAATAAATTTTATATGTGATTTGAAATGGGTTTTTGCATACGTTTGGCCTTCCAAATTAAGAATTTTAAAAGGATAAATTAAAGCTTGGATGGCAATAGGATAAATTAGTTTACGAGTAAATGTTTGGAGTCAGAGCTTTATAGCACTCAGAATATAGCTAAACTAAGATAGAAGGTTTGGGATGTTAGGCGTGAAATGACCTTAGCCGTTAAAACGCCCTTAAAAATTAATAATAATAATAACAACAAATCATATACATATAATACACATACACATACATACATTCACATATATAACATTAAAATCCGAATGGCTTGAATACTGGAAAAGGTAAATCGCCCAACGATGACCTATCCTTTAAACTATTTTTTGATCCAATGTTGGATATCATTTAGACGGGCTTGGATGCTTGAGGTAGCTACATGTGAGTTTTAATGGAAGGAAAGGATAAGTGTGACATCTGATAATGTAGCAAGGAATGTGTTAAGATTTAGAGGGATATCGACAGTATACTGCATATAGGAGAAGACCTAGGATGTTTCTATGAGATACTCTACCTCCAACAGTGAAGGAAGAGGAAAGATCTACACTGTCTGTAAAGCTATTGAATAGATAGGATCTTAGGATCAGGTAAGGGTTTGAAGAGGAGGAAGCCTTAAACTTGGAGAAAAGTCCTGGGTGCCAGACTCGATCAAAGGCTTGTACCATGACAAGATGTACACGAGGAACCGTTCCCTCAAAGCTAGAAGAGATGACAATGTCCCTTTTGAATAATTTTGAATAGTGCTAGAAAAGTCGTGAGTATACCTCGCTATCAAGATTGAGGCTCAATATTATCCTGTACTATCCTTATCTGCATTCGCTACACTTAATTTTTTCTTAATCTTAATTTTTTTTAATGTTCTTAAAAAGGAAACATTTTCCTTATTAAGCCTTCTCAGTAATTCATAATATGCACTGGGGTTTCCTCTTCTTCTTAGCAAAATATACAAAGGCCATTTTCTGCCACTGCCAGTATTTTAAAATATTTTTTAATACACTTAAATATTATATTGATGATTGATATCGATTATGTAGAGATAATATTTTCAAAAGCTTATTGAGTACACAATGTCCAGTAATAGACCTGCAATGGCCCCGTATTGTCTGCATGTCTGTAGTAAGTTTAGAAGAGACTTTCTTAATGAAGTCTTTTGCTTGTCTCTGTCTTGGGATGAGTCCCACTTTCCCACTGTATATGAGTTTTAAATATTATCCATATGACAATTGCTCCTTTTTTCTAGCAGTTTGGAAATTTTCAGGAGTCCTACTAGTACTGCTGGGGACGCTTCCTCTTTGTTACCCTTCCGTCTTATATGTCCTGGAGAGAATATTTATTTTATATTTCTATTTTTCCCAAGGAACTCACACAGTCCCATACATGTGGCTTGTAGGATCCTGTGCGACTGATCTTGCTTCTGATGATAATGTGTTTAGTTTTAATACCATCTCCAGGGCATAGTTCCACTAGGCATACTCTGCCTGATTGTGCACTACCCCTAAAGAGGTGAAATTAACTGATAATTAATTAAAACATGAAAAATAAAAAAGCTCCTGGAGATAATAACTTAATAACACCCATCATTGTAAAAAAATCTCTTGAGCAAAGCATTAATTTACTCACCGAACTAATCAACTGCATGCTAATACTTGCTCATTTCGCATAGCAAATAGCAAAAGTAATTCCTATTCCTACCAAACTTACACCCTGCCTGGTAACCATCGCCCAATATTTCTCCTTACTCAAAAATTTAAGAAAAAGTAGTATTGCAAAAAATTAGGCACATTTTAAATAAAAATGCATTATTTTGCCTTGCCAATTTGGCTCCAGTCCCATATATTGCACTGCCTTGCAGCTGGCCAGAATGGTATTTGTATATATTTGGTTATACATATTGGTATTTATACATATTTTTAATGTAAATAAACATGGATTTATGAATGAAAATGGTCAACATTATTGACATGAAGAAAGCGTTTGACTGTGTTTAGGACAGAGGTCTGATATTTAAACTTATGTCATATCAATGTTCTAACACCTAACGCATTTAATTAGTAATTACCTAACTGGAAATTCTTTGACAGATTGATGGCATATGGTTACCTTTAGGATTATAAGAGCTTGGATCAGACCTGAGGCTAATATGATATTTAGTCGACACATACCAATCATGTAAATGCCATTGGCTAAGAATGTTAAAGTACCCTGGAATGTGTGTAGATTCCAGACTTGATTTTTAAGCGTACAAATATGGATGGTAAAAATAAAAAGCTCATTTGTGAACTACACATCCATTAATCACTAATGGTGTTCTCATTTGTGGAAATATGTCTGTATCAAAATTTGGTAAGCCCCAGGTAGTCTAAAATGGTGCCTAAGGAATATTGGTGGGTTTCCACATTGGACTCCAATAGAATGTGTGCAACTGTAAATTTTTATAATACGTGAATAAATAACAATACAATTCAATACACAATACTTTATTAGAATTGATACAAACAAAAAATAGAATTACTGATACAAAGTATAAGAAACATAGCTAGTACCCATCTGCTGAGTTTACTGCATAATAAAGCTTACAAATACAGAAATATTAAAACAAAAGAATTCAAAGAGAAAATTAACATATAGCAGGTGTATGAATTACAATAGATGGAAATATGAGAAAAAAGAAGAAACCAAAAAGAATTAAATAAGAACAAATTACCTCTTGAGAACTGATAGAGTACTAAAAAAACAAAGCAGTAAAAGTAAAAGTATATGTACAGCGACGACAATTATTGCATATCTGAAAGCCACTCGTATCTCACTCTCCAGGAGTGCCGAGCAAAGGAAATTAGCAGTAAAGGGGATACTTGGTTAGAAAGATATTCCAGTATTTCAACTCTGGAGATGACTGTCTTTCCCAAGTAAGATACCCGCAATTTTGAGAGAAGAGAGCAGACTCCCAAAAAGTGATATGAATCTTCCCTGGCGTGGCTGTTACAAAGTGGACAAGTTCAAATAAATAACCCATTTGTACATATCAAAAAGTTTTTTTTATTTATAATAGGGATAACGTGAACTACTGTATTGTTTGAAAAATATTGATCGTTTGTTAAAAAGAAATTTAAGTAAAACAAATTAATTTTATTTCTATCATACAGGAGGGCTTAAGGCCCAACTAGCTATTGGGTGTTGTAGGCAAGTGGAGACACCACTTTACCATACATTTTTCATACCATTATCAATTAAAAAACCATGGGCTATGCCAGGATTCAAACCTAAAAATATTATTATATGGCTAGCAAGGCCAATACAAGTCGGACACCCTAACCACTATGCCACCACAGGAACTGGAGGAGTTCCCTCCTGAGCACTCCAGCTGTACAGCTTATTGCACTTTATCCCTGGCTCCATTTTTTGGGGGCTCGCAACACAAGTGTGAATTTGAGCCCCCGGTGTGCCAGAGTTCTTCCATAGAAAAAACTCATTTTTGAGGGGGTTGAGACCAAATGCGGGGTCGCTGAGATCTGATCCCGCTCCTTCTATTGATGAGTGCCTTGTAAATTTCTTTCAATTGCGGCCACAGGTCCTCTTAGGCGTCAGAAAAAGTCCAGAGGCGACGGTGGGGATCGAACCCATGTCTGTGGGATCTACTAGCCGAGAGTCCGACGGCCTTAACCACTCGGCTACCGCAGTCCCCAGTCACCTTTAACCAATTGTCTTTTTTATATTTATTTGTAGAACTTGTGTAGTGTTTAATACCTTTATTGTTCTGTGCAATGCCTTGGGTGTTTTATATATATATATATATATATATATA